AATTGTCAGACTGGATTTTTAAAAAAATTTCAACACTGTATTTTCTTAGAAGGTACGCATCTGAAACATAGCACGGGGTTTTAGAAAAGTTGAAGGTAATATGATGGCAAAATGATTTAGCTTGCCGAACAAAACAGAAGAAGCCTGTAGGAGCTCTGGCAATATCAGACAAAGTAAAGTTTATGGCAAAAAGCATTATTAGAGATAAAGAACGTTCTGGGCAGGTGGATTATGCCTATAATCCCAGCACTTTGGGAGAGTGAGACAGAGAGAATCACCTGAGGTCAGGAGTTCAAGACCACCCTGACCAACATGGTGAAACCTCTGTCTCTACTAAAAATACGAAAATTAGCCGGGCGTGGTGGCACATGCCTGTAATCCCAGCTATTTGGGAGGCTGAGGTGGGAGAATCGCTTGAACCTGGGAGGCAGAGGTTGCAGTGAGCCATGATCGCGCCTTTGCACTCCAGCCTGGGAGACAGAGTGAGACTCCATCTCAAAATAAAGAGATGAGGGATATTACAAAATGATTTTTTAAAGAAGTTTCAATTTGCCGGGAAGGTGTCAAAATTCTGTATTTTTGTACCTCCATTACAGCCTCAAATATTTAATGCAAAAGCTGACAAATCTACAGGGAAGAAAGAAACCCACGATCATCTCAGTATTCAATAGAATAATCAGACCACATTTTTAAAAGACAGGAAAAAGTGTAGATGTTCTGAACCACACCATTAGTACCCTTGATCTAAAGGAGCTGCCTAGAACACTGAGTCCACAACGGCATGACACATTCGAGAACGACAAAAATTGGTCCTATGGTGTCTTTTAGAGAATATAAAAAAATAGAAATCACCCAAGTATATTCGCAGATCACAGTTAAGCTAACAATTAAGCTAAAAATCAATAACAAAAAGATACGAGAAAACCTCCATATGTTTGGAAATTAAGAAATACACTCCAGAGAAGATGGAAGGGATATGATACAGGACCCAGGTGGAAGGTTGCTTTCGCCAAGAGGAAGGACCCCGTTTTCGTTAACCTCCGAGTGTCTGGGCCCTAGTTGCACCTCCTCCCAGTGCAATTTTGAACAAGCTGAATTAATCATCCGGGGAAGTGTCCAGAAATGATTCCAAGCGGTAGACTCCAGGCCTTCCTTGCTCACTTCGTTACTTTCATCAACTCCATGACATGATCTTAATAGCTGTAGTTCTCAAGTTTTCCTAAAAGGGAACTTCTCCCTCTCACCAAGTTATAGACCCATCACGGAGGGGCAAGGAGTGAGGTGAACTCTCCACAAACCAAGTGCAGCTCAGGTCCACATCTAGATGTTTCGGTGCCACAGGCACCCAGAGCCTGATATTATTTTGTAGAAACGAATCCTGACAGAGCCAGCAGCAAGAAGAGTCATCAACCCCATCTCTACGAGGGAGCTGCAGCTTGGCAGGCACAGGCTGTTAGGGCCACAATTCTCCTCTGAATGGATTCTGGGTTAACTGGGGATGAAAGCCCTAAGTTCAAGGCCAGAGGTCTTTTTCCGAGATGGACAGGCGGCAAAGGGGCCTATCAGAATCACAAGAGAAGCTGCTTACAGTATAATATTCTTCCCATAGGCAGGGGCCATTCCAGCCCACAGACTGCAGGTTTTCCATCTTTTAGCCCTGGAAACTCTCTGCCCACTTCTTTTCTCTTTCACATGAAATCTTATCAGGGATAACAGGTGAAACTGGAACCAATGAGAGCCCTGGAACCCCACTCTCTTGGCCAGCCCTCTCCAACCACCACCACGGCGTCTGGCCACAGACATTTCAGCCTGAACTTTTCAAAGAGTATGTGTAACCAAACACCTATCTCAACCATTAAAAACAAAAAAAGTCTTGAGAAAGTCTAGTTTTGAGGAAGGCAACTTCCTGGTACACCCTCCAAAGTAAACCTGATGCAAAATGTATGAATGAGGAAACACTAAAAACAGCGAATACTGGTGACACTCGGAAAGTAAAAGTGGCCACACGCACGCAGCCCTTTCTTTGGGGTCAATAGTTATCAGTGGCCAGTCCAACCCACCATATTTTGTTTTGTTTCGTTTTGTTTTTGAGATGAAGTCTCGCTCTGTTGCCCAGGCTAGGGTGCAATGTCGCAATCACGGCTCACTGCAACCTCCACCTCCCGGGTTCAAGTGATTCTCCTGCCTCAGCCTCCCAAGTAGCTGGGATGACAGGCCCAAGCCACCACACCTGGCTAATATTTTTGTATATTTTTTTAGTTGAGACGGGGTTTCACCATGTTGGCCAGGCTGATCTCGAACTCCTGACCTCCAGTGATCCGCCCGCCTCAACTTCCCAAAGTTCTGGGATAACAAGCATGAACCACCATGCCAGGCCCAGCCTATCCCATTTTGGAATAACAGAGTTCTTCCATCTGTAGATAGATAGGAGACTGTTTTTCCTAGAAACAGCTCATCTAAAATAGTCACATAACATCACGTAACAATGATAAAATCAGGGAACAACACATTATCCCCCTCCTCCACATTCACTGCTTCCCAGAAAAGCTTCCCTGATAGCACTTGATAGGACGACCTCAGCTTAGGCTGTGGATGCTGTTCAATCCGCCATACAGCAACCCCGGACAGGCCATCTTACATATCTGTATGTCCCAGGTTCTGGTCCCATAGGAGGGACAGGCTCTGCTCGTGTCAAACACATCAAAACGCACCCAACAACCCACATGACATCGTTTCTGTATAAACATTTCAAATGAACTATATAACTCTGCTTTTGAAACAATTATTCATTTTGCCCAGTTTTTTGTTGTTCAAATTTTGGTTTGTTTGGGGACAGGATCTCCCTCTGTCACCCAGACTGGAGTGCAGTGGTGCCATCCCTGGCCTCAAGTGATCCTCCCACCTCAGCCTCCTGAGTAGCTGAGACTACAAGTGCGCGCTACCATACCTGGCTGAATTTTTGTGCTTTTTGGTGTTTTGTTTGTTTGTTTGTTTTGTAGACACAGGGTCTTACTATGTTGCCCAGGCTGGTCTTGAACTCCCTGGCTCAAGTGATCCTCCCACCTCGGCCTCCCAAAATGCTGGGATGACAGCCATGTGCCAATATGCCTGATCTGTTGTTCAAATTTTGGATCCCAGAACATTTTCTCAGGTCTCAAACATTTTTGAGATCCTTGAAAATCTTGGAGATTTCCATGCATTGCTGCTATCCCTCATACCCACTGGATAAATCAGCCCTGACCTGTAAATCTCCCTGCAGGGTTTACTTGTGAGGAAAACATTAAGGACAGCGTTTGTTCTATTAAGCAGTGTCCTCTCTGTGGGGACCTTGAGTTCCTTGAGCACAAGGGCTGTGTGGTCTTTCTTACCCCCAGGTCCCCACACCAAGAACCTGGCACGCAGCCGCTACTTCGCAACTGTTTAATGTTCAACTAGTGGTAATGCCTAAACTGGACCTGTACGCTCTGCCTGAAAATCAGCCTTCCTAAAACACTTTGGCCCCATCCCCAAATCCAGGAACACAGGCCACCACTGTTTTATATCTTTGAGCAAATTAGAAAAACCATGCCTCCCCTGGGCTGTTACGCTCCAATAGGAAATCCTCCCTTGGGGCATACTCATGCCTTCCACATCTTTCCACAGAGCTGAAGTCCACCCCTCACCCTTACCAGACCCATACATGTGCAGAAACACATCCACACGTGGCAGGCTGTGTGCACACAGACAGCTCCCTTGCCTTTATTTGTGCTATTCCTTTGACTTGAAAAGCCCATCAACTCTAATCTGCACATACAAACTTCAACACCCAGTCCGAATGTAACTTTCTCTGGGAATCCTTCCCCTTCACCTCTCAGGCAGATTTCAGCGCTTCCGCCTTTTTATTCCCATCACGGTGGAAGGCACCCCTATTTGAATCTTGCCAGACTGCATCAAATTTCTTTCTTCCAGGCTTGGCCCCTGCTGAACTGTGATCTCAAGGGGAAGAGCTGCATCTTGGTCATCTCAGTCTCCAATGCCCAGGATGAGACTTTTTTTTTTTTTTTTTTTTTTGAGATAGAGTTTCATTCTTGTTGCCCAAGCTGGAGTGCAATGGCACGATCTTGGTTCACTGCAACCTCAGCCTCCCAGGTTCAAGCGATTCTCCTGCCTCAGCCTCCTGAGTAGCTGGGATTACAGGCGTATACCACCACACCCAGCCAAATTTTTTTGTATTTTTAGTAGAAATGGGGTTTCACCATGTTGGCCAGGCTGGTCTTGAACTCCTGACATCATGATGTGCCCGCCTCAGCCTCTCAAAGAGCTGGGATTAGAGCGTGAGCCACCGCACCCGGCCAAGACCTTGTATGTACATGGCGGGTATTCAATAAATGTTTTAGACTGAATGCAGAGCTCTAGTCAAGTTACTGCTCAGCTCAGAATCTCTACAGGACCTTCCCTTTTGATTCCTGACTTTGTTTCAAACTTCTCCACCAGGCACACAGAAGCTCAGCCCACGGCTCTCCTCCGCTCGCCTCCCCACCTCACCCTCCTTGGCTCACCTGCGCTTCTGGGTGCTGTGGTCACAGCGGACCTCTGACACCTCCTTACCTTCGGGCCTTTGCTCATCTGTCCTTCTACCTACAATGTCATCTTCCCCTCTCCCCCTGTCAAAATTCTAGCCATCCTTCAAGGCCCAGTCAAATGCTATTTTCTTTCTTTCTTTCTTTCTTTTTTGGAGACAGACATTGCCCAGGCTGGAGTGCAGTGGCATGATCTCGGCTTACTGCAACCTCTGTCTTCCGGGTTCCAGCTATTTGAGTAGCTGGGACTACAGGCATGCACCACCACACCTGGCTAATTTTTGTATTTTTATTAGAGATGGGGTTTCACCATGTTGGCCAGGCTGGTCTCGAACTCCTGACTTCACGTGATCTACCCACCTCAGCCTCCCAAAGTGCTGGAATAACAGGCGTGAGCCACCATGCCCAACCTCAAATGCCATTTTCCTCTTGAAGCATCCCATCAGCAGACGCAGCCTCCACTGTTGAAACCCACAGTGCTTTATCACTCCCAAGCCACTCCTCAAACCCTGCTCTGAGGTTGAATGATGCCTGTTTGTAATGAAAGCACTTGGAGAGCTGGCGTCTCCCAACTTTAGCATGGTGCAGTCAATGCCCACAGTAGCTGCTCAGTGAATATTGGACCAAATGGTATTGGGCATCCATGCTACACCTGCAGATGGGAGCGGCAGCCAGCTCATCCCCAGGAACCAGCATGGCACAGATAACTCTTGTCCTCCTCTTTTTTCTCAGTAAGGACAAAATCTGTGCTCAGGGGAGAAGGGCATAGCTTGCCCCTCCCTTCCCTCCTCAGCCAACAGTTTGACTTCCCTTCTAGAGAGGTGAGAGAAGGTGTGACAGGCCAAGTTTCCTTTGCTCCACCCCATCGCGTTTTCCCCAAACACCCAGCGCAGGTTCACCTCTGGCAGAGCTGCTTTCCAGCTCCTGCAGGTCGGACTTGGCTCACCTGCACCCGGGACTCCGCAGGCCTCCGCGGGACGGGCTCACCTGCACCCGGGACTCCGCAGACCTCCGCAGGACGGGCTCACCTGCACCCGGCACCGCCTCCAGCATGCAGCGCCTCACCGCCGCCACCAGGGCCGTCCTGATCCTCAGCCTGGCCTTAGCCTCCTTCCACTCGGCTTGCTCGGCAGGTAGCGTGGTGAGCTTTATTCGTGGCCAGGCTGGGAAGGGGGAGGGAAGGAGGGAAGAGAGGTGGGAGGGAAGGAAGGGGAGGGGGAGGATTCCTTGGCCGGGGTTGGTTCCGTACCAAGGAAGGAGGAAACAGAACTTTCTCATCTGGAGGATTAGGCAGAGGGTGGGAGGTGGGCCTCGGGGAGCGGGGAGATGGGGTAGGTCTTAGGTTTGCCTAAGACAGAGATCAGACACTCAATTCCTCAGCTGGGGCAGGAGCAGCCACCTCCGTTGGCCTTAGCCACAAAGAAAGGAAAAAGTTTTCTGCTGTAGTTTCACCTATCAGGAAACCAAAACGACATCTCTTGGCCCGCTGTGTCCCAAAGGCTCCTTCTCAGCCTTCCCCAGCCTGCTGTGCTTTGCGGTCCTCCCTGTGCACATTTGTGTCAGACCTTCCCATTCCGAAATCCTCCATCCCTCCCTGCCCCCTGTACTTTCGCTGTGACTTTCACAAAACCTGACCGCCACAGGGCTGCCATCCGCCGTGTCCCACCCTCCTGCCTCCAGGGGTGTTGGAAATGCTGGGTTATCTCCTCATTTTCCTACGGAGGCTGGAAGGCTGATCTGTACCCAGCTCTGTCCTTCCCAGCCAGGCTCTGCAGCTCATGGCAGAGGGACCTTGGTTATCATCTCATGCTCCTGGCGTTGATCTTGTCCTCAGCTACCTCAGAACACTGCAACGCCCTCTATGCCCTGCAAGAGTCCCCTTCTCAAAACCAACCCTGCCCCGCAGAGTCCTGTATCTGCCCGTCATCCTCAGACTCTCTTCTGTCACCACTGCCAGGGGTGTTGGCGTGGATGTTCAAGACGTGCATTCTTGAGCCACTGAGCCTGAACTCAACCCCAGTGTCCGTGACTCACTCGCTATGCGACCTCCAGCAAATTACTTTCCCTCTCTGTGCCCAGTTTCCTCCTTTATCTCATGGGGACAATCACAGTGCTTGTTCACAGGGCTGTTGTCAAGAGGAATTGACATAATTGCACGTAAAGAACCTAGAAATAGCTCACAGAAGACACATAGTGAATGTCAGCAACTGTGGTGAACACGTTGGTTTTATTTTCCAACTTCACCCCTCCCCAAATAAGAGCACTGAGTCTCTTTCCACTTACCCTGACAGTGCCTTGCTTACTATGGGGGCTCAAATACAAAAGCCAAGTTTAACTGCACTGAATTGGGCCTTCCTGGCAGCTTTTTCTGTACCAAGTGGGGCCAGTCCCTGCCTCGCTTCTGGCTCTGTTTATAAGGGAGGAGGGTGATGTCTAAATTCTTAGGAATTTTCGCCGGGGCTATTTCCTTTGAACCACAGAAGATTGCTGATCTTGAACAGTTTTGACCTATGACAACGACAATTTCATGAGCTTGAACCTAATCCAAGCATTCAGCTAACTAGGGTCTTTTCCCCTCACTTTGGAAGAGGACATCTCCATTCTAGGTGTAGAGGTGAGGTGAAAGTCAGGACCAAGGAAGTTATTTGAGTCAGAAGGAAAATTAGAATGGCGAGGAATCAGTTTCTCCAAAACAAATAAAGACCAGGCTCGAAGCCATTTAGCTGTAAATAATTTACAGTAACAGATTGCATCGAGACCATGGCTATACTTTAAGCAGGACATTGGAGTGGCTTGGGGGTTGGCTGGCATAAAATTAGTCTCAGCAGCAATTTCATGGCTTTAGCTAAACTGCAGGTTTCTTAACTCGTCCTGCTGTGTGACAAGCACCTTTGAAGGACATACTGACTCACAGTCAGGGGCACCTTGAGAGTTTCCACACCCACCACCTTTTTTTTTTTTTTTTCTTTTTGCATTCCCAAAGAAGCAGGCTGAACAGCAATATAATTTCTAGGAAGGTTCGTCCCATCCATCTCTTGGTTCCCATCTACCCAGATCAGCATTAGCACTGTCTAATAATAGAACTTCCATTGAGGGTGGAAATGTCTCATGTCTGAGTTGTGCTATCAGTATGGGAGCCACTAGTCACACGTACTGATGGAACCCTTGGCATGTGTCTAATGTAACCAAGAAGCTGAGTTTTTTTACTGAATTTAATTTTCATAACTTTGAACAACCACAAGTGGCTAGTGGCTGCTCTATTGAATAGTATGGATTTAGAGGTCATCTCTCTCCTTATTGTCAGTTATGGAAGGGAACCTGGATGGCTTAGATCTCTAACCCCATCCCATACCCGAAGCCAATATAACTTTAAGAATTCATGCTAAAGTCCTTTTTATCTTTCCACTCCTTGCTCATGAATCAATCTATGTGCTGCATATTCTGACAATCTCTGGGCTTGCGTATATGATGTTTATTTATTTATTTTTTTGACAGCCATCATTCTGGAGGCTGGAAGTCCAATATCAAAGTGTTGGAGGGTTTGATTTCTCCTGACGCCTCCCTCCTTGGGTTGCAGATAGATACTTCTCACTGTGTCCTCACGTGGACTTTTCTCTGTGCATGTGCGATGCTGATGTCTCTTCCACTTCTTTCTTTTTTTTTTTTTTTTTTGAGAGTTTTGCTCACATCACCCACCCAGGCTGGAGTGCAATGATGCGATCTCAGCTCACTGCAACCTCTGACTCCCAGGTTCAAGTCATTCTCCTGCCTCAGCCTCTCAAGTACCTGGAATACAGGCATGCACCACCACGCCTGGCTAATTTTTGTATTTTTAGTAGAGACGGGGTTTCACCACATTGGCCAGGCTGTTCTTGAACTCCTGACCTCAGGTGATCTGCTCACCTCAGCCTTCCAAAATGCTGGGATTACAGGCATGAGCCACGCACCTGGCCTCTTCCACTTCTTATAAGGACACCTGCCATTTTGGATTCGGGCCCACCCATAGGACCTCACTTAAGCTTAACTACCTCTTCGAAGGTTCCATCTCCAAATACAATCACATTGTGGGTTAGAACTTCAAGATATGAATCTGGGGAGAGGGGAACATAATTCAGCCCATAACAGGGAGTTAGCTTTGTTGCATAAAGCCTCAATATGCCCACACGGGAGCTTTTATAATACTTTCATAATGCTCACTACTGATTTCCAAAAAAGATTTCAAAATCTATGACTGGGAATGGCTTTCGCTAGTGCCTGAGACTATCTCCTGTCTTTTCTTCCAGAAGCGAGTGGCAGCAACAGCTCAGCCTTGACCGCCCACCGCCCAGACCCGGGGACCCTGGAACAGTGCCTCAGTAAGCTTCTCCTGCTGACCGCTCTAACCCTAGAACTGGCCCTCAGCCTGGGAGGGAAACAAAGGCCTCCCCACTTTCCGTTGATTGATGCCAAGTGACCAAGGGCCTGCCTGGCCTTCCTGTGCACCAGTGTGGTTTGTCCCAGATCTATTTGCAGAGCAGGTCTAAAAAGCTTTCTTGGCTCCAGTCCCCATCTGGGTGCATGATTTTTTGCACAGATGGCTTTAATGACCCATCCCAGGTCAGCAGCTAACGATGACCTAGGTTCAAATGCTTAAAGAAGTTTGGAGGTGAAAAGGCCACAAAAAAATCGAGTCCAACTTCTATCCAATGCAAGGGCTTGGTTTTGGTACCCTTGGCATGCATATTTCTTCTTCTTCTGTGCATGTTCTTCCTCTTCATGTACCTCTAGCCACAGGGAGCGCAGTAATTCATAGACCAACCACTATTATGCATGTCTAGCTAATAGAAAGTTTTGCCGCTGGGCACAGTGGCTCACGCCTGTAATCCCAGCACTTTGGGAAGCCGAAGCAGGTGGATCACCTAGGATCAAGAGTTTGAGACCAGCCTGACCAATATGGTGAAACCCCATCTCTACTAAAAATACCAAAAAATTAGCTGGGTGTGGTGGCGTGCGCCTGTAGCACCCACTACCAGGGAGGCTGAGACAGGAGAATCGCTTGAACCCAGGAGGCGGAGGTTGCAGTGAGCTGAGATCGTGCCATTGTACTCCAGCCTGTGTGACAGTGAGACTCTGTCTCAAAAAGAAAAAAAAAAAAAAAACAAGCAAGGAAGGATAATAGGGAATAACACATAGAGGTTAAGAGTATGGCTTTGGAGTCTTGCAGACTTGGGTTTGAGTTCTCCTTCTGCCATCTTGTGACCTCAGCCAAGTTACAGCCTTAGTCTCTTCATGTGAAACGAGAATAAAAATCGCACCTATCGCTTTGTGAGGAAGGCATGAGCTAACGTGTAAAAGCACTCAGCACAGTGCACGGCAGGTAGGAGGCCCGGGTCGATTGCTCTGTGAATATTCACGGTAGAGAAGCCTGGGCAGGGCTGGCGGGGCCTGCAGTCATCCTTGCTCTCCCTTCCCCACCAGATGTGGACTTCTGCCCACAGGCAGCCCGGTGCTGCCGCGCAGGGGTGGACGAGTACGGCTGGATCGCGGCGGCAGTTGGCTGGAGCCTCTGGTTCCTCACTCTCATCCTGCTCTGTGTGGACAAACTGATGAAGCTGACTCCGGATGAGCCCAAGGACTTGCAAGCGTGAGATCCAGGCTCGGTGCACAAAACGGTGATCGCCACCAGTCGGGCTAATGGGGGAGGGGAGTAGGGCTAACATAGTTTCTACTGTTTAAAAGTCATTTTCACCTTTAGGCTTCAGTTACTTTTAAAAGGAAAAGAAGAAAGAGTAGGAGAAGCACATAAGGCAAGCCAATGCTGCCCTCGCACCTCGCTCCCAAGGGCCTCTGGGGCTTCTGTGCCCAGATGGCTCCTGTCTTAAGATCGTCCCTCTGGAAATTGCCCTGCTTTAACCTTTCTTCTAGGTGCCAAGGGAGGTGCACAAGAAACATAAGACTTAGTCTCATCATCAACATGTTCAGAAACAAACACATAACCTTCTCACCAAAACCGGGTCATCTGCTTCTGTACCTGGCTTGAGTCTTAACTGTCATTTCAATATAAGAACTGGTCAGATACGGTGGCTCATGCCTGTAACCCCAGCACTTTGGGAGGCTGAGGCGGGCAGATCACTCAAGGTCAGGAGTTTGAGACCAATTTGGCCAACATGGTGAAACCCCATCTCTACTAATAATACAAAAATTAGCCAGGCGTGGTGGTGCACGCCTGTAATCCCAGCTACTTGGGAGGCTGAGGTGGGAGAATCGCTTGAACCTGGGGGGCAGAGGTTGCAGTGAGCCGAGATCGCGCCATTGTGCTCCAGCCTGGTGACACAGCGAGACTCTATATCAAACAAATAAATAAATAAAAGAATGTGAGGATCGGTCGGGCATGGTGGCTCATTCCTGTAATCCCAGCACTTTGGGAGACTGAGACAGGAGGATCACTTTAGCCCAGGAAATTGAGACCAGCCTAGGCAAGATGGTGAGACTTTGTCTCTATTAAAATTTTTTTTTTTGAGACGGAGTTTCGCTCTTGTTACCCAGGCTGGAGTGCAATGGCCCAATCTCAGCTCACCGCAACCTCCGTCTCCTGGGGTCAGGCAATTCTCCTGCCTCAGCCTCCTGAGTAGCTGGGATTACAGGCGCGTGCCACCATGCCCAGCTAATTTTTTGTATTTTTAGTAGAGACGGGGTGTCACCATGTTGACCAGGATGGTCTCGATCTCTTGACCTCGTGATCCACCCACCTCGGCCTCCCAAAGTGCTGGGATTACAGGCTTGAGCCACCGCGCCCGGCCTTAAAAAAATTTTAAAGTTAAAAATAAAAATGTGAGAATCCCCTTGACACTCCCACCATCTTCACCCCCACCTCAGGTCCTTCTCCAGCTCTCCTTCTGGCTTCCCCCTGCCTTCCACGGCTCTCCTGCCCACCCATCCTCCCCACCGGCGCCCTAGTTCTGGCCTTCACCGCCTTTCCCTAGACCACATCAGGGGTATTGCATTCTGTCCTCACGGCCTTGAGGATCTTCCTCCCCAGCTCACCATTCCCCATGGGCAGCTACCAGGATAGGTGCTGTCACCCTCTGCTGACAACAGTCAGTAGCTCCTAAGGACTAAAACTTCTCGGCACGGCATTCAAGTCTTTGTAGGACTCCAACTGTCTCCCAGCACATCCAGGAATAAGGACTCTGACTGGTCCACTCCTCATTCCGGTGTCTCCAGCTTCTCTGCTGTCATTTTCTTTGCTGGGATGGCTGCCTCCCAACTCCACCTCGAGAATCAAGGACCTTCCTCCAAGCCCAGTTCGAAAGCTTGATCTGCCTGGAGCCTTCCCAGTCATCCTTGGGTGACCTGGAGCCCTTAGAGCACTTCTCCTCTACCCTGACATGTGAATGGGACTCTCCATAGTTTATCCTTCTTCACGCCTCTGGGGCATAATACACTATTCAAGTTTGTCCAACGAGTGCATGGGAGAATGAATGAATGAACAAATGAGTCTTTGCTCTAGATGACTTAAGATCCTCCCTCTGCATTAGGAGCCTCCATTTTTCTCCAGATGGTTGAAATAACCAGCCTCTGAAGGATCCAACGGTTTGGTCACTGCTTTCTCAGCAAATTACAGTCACTGTCACTTAGCGTGAAGAGTGGACCTTGCACATCACCGTGAACTCTTGCAGAGGAGGAGAAGGCAGGTTTATCAGAAGAAAGAAAGGACAAAAATGACTAATTATGAAGCAATTTCTGCCCTCTGTGAGAAAACATGTATTTAGATCAGATAAACTCTAAATAGTCAAAATACAAAAAAGAAAAATGAAAGCCCTCTGAAACAGAAACAATCTCTTGAAGAGGCAAATGACTCAGAGCTGCTCAACTGCTCTTTCAGAAAATCTAAGTAAATTTCCCTGACAACAGGAGCTGAAGAGATTGCCTGGTTCATCTTGTAGTCTTCCAAAAAAAAAAAACAACAACATAATTTCTGAATCTCGGATGTTGAATCAGTACAATGGGATGAATTTCTTGTTCCAAAGTGTTAAATGATCATGTATATAGAGGTGTCTGAGCCTGGGCAACATAGTGAGACTCTGTCTCCACAAAAAAATAAAAACAGGCCAAGCTTGGTGGCTCATGCCTGTAATCCTAGCACTTTGAGAGGCCGAGGTGGGTGGATCACCTGAGGTCAGGAGTTCAAAACCAGCCTGGCCATCATGGTGAAACCCCATCTTTATAAAAAAAAATAATAAAAATAAATAAATAAAAACATTAGCCAGGCTTGGTGGTGCACACTGATAGTCCCAGCTACTCAGGAGGCTGAGGAAGGCAGATCACTTGAGCTAGGGAGTTCAAGGGTGCAGTGAGCCATGTTTGTGCCACTGTATTCCAGCCTAGGCGACACAGTGAGACCCTGTCTGAAAGAAACAAAAGTGTCTGCATAATACCTGGTGCCTTTTGTGGATATACCATATGAGTATATGTTCCATGATTTTAGAAATTCAAAGGAAGAATTTCCACAATATGTGATGGTTTATTTCCCAAGAGATGAAAAGATTCATTAAGGAGCATGCTTTAACACCTGCAAACATTTAAAAAATATAACAGTGTGTGACATAGCAGTGAGAGTTATCTTTTTGAAAAGGGAAATTAAGATTTATTTCTGTTCAATTCAAACAGAAATAAGTCACTTTATCTCACTGGGCACCAATTTTATAAGTGAAAAATAGAAGAATTGGACCAAATGAGCTGTTTCAAGCTGAGCTGCAAAAGTCCATGGGGCCATTTCAGTCACTTCATGGAATCGGGGTGGGCATGGAGCCCACTGTTCTTCCAACCTGAAGCAGCTTGGCTCTTGTGACATACATTAAACCTTGTGGTAGGTTTTTTTTTTTTTTTTTTTTTTTTTTTTTCTGATTTATAAAGTGAAGGGTCAGGGCACCAGCTGGTGTCTGAGATGCCCTCCAGTCTGGGGAACCCCGTAGATTCTTAGACTACCTTGAAGTGAAGTATGTGGAGTCTCTGCCATCTCACATTAAAATGTAGGCATTTTGTCAATTGCTTTTCTTTCATCTGCACAGGCGGAAGGGCAGAATGAACCAATAGAGCCACTCTTTTCCTTGAGACTGTAAAGAAAAATGGTTATAGAGTCTGCTGGTTCTACTTCCAAGATGCTACCTCTCAGATTTAGCCTCAACAGGAAATTTCTTGATTATAGCAGACCAGATATTTACCTGTCAATAAGTTAAAAAAGATAATCTGGGCTGGATGTGGTGGCTCACGCCTGAAATTCCAGCACTTTGGGAGGCCAAGTCGGGAGGATTGCTTGAGCTCAGGAATTTGAGACCAGCCTGGGCAACATGGCAAAACCCCATCTCTACAGAAAATACAAAAAAAATTATCTGGGCCTGATAGCACATGCCTGTAGTCCCAGCTCCTTGGGAGGCTGAGGTGGGAGGATCATTTGAGCCCAGGAGGTTGAGCCTGCAGTGAGCTATGATCTCACCACTGCATACCTGCCGGGGTGAGAGTGAGATCTTGTCTCAAAAAGAAAAAAAAATGAATAAAATTTGAGAGGAAAAGCAGGCATCAACTTCCAGGGATCTAATAAAACTTTCTAACTTAAAGCAACAAGACTTGCCTAATGGTAGATGAACTTTTCATTTTAAAACTTTGCCTTTAGCAGCGGACACTGCCCTCAACACAGCTACAGTTTATGTAACACAGAGTCAATATGATACAGGGCATGTCTGTATCAAAATGTCATATGTAGAAATAAAGTATTAAATATTAAGATGTGGCATAATTATCTGTCTTTAAAAATCGTCATTTAGTGGCTAGGTGCGATGACTCACGCCTGTAATCCCAGCACTTTGGGAGGCTGAGCTGGGTGGATCACCTGGGGTCAGGAGTTCAAGACCAGTCTGGCCAACAAGTTGAAACCCCATCTCTACTAAAAATGCAAAAATTTAGCCGGATGTGGATGTGGTGGTAGATGCCTGTAATCCCATCTACTTGGGAGGCTGAGGTAGGAGAATCGCTTGAACCTGGGAGGTGGAGGTTGCATGAGCCGAGATCAGGCCACTGCACTCCAGCCTGGGCAACAGAGTGGGGCTCTGTCTCAAAAAGTTAATTAATTAAATAAAATTAAAATCATCATTTAAAAACTTATTCTTTTTTATATGCATGACACCTAAGGCAAACAAAACAAATATGCAATTTTTTATTAACAACTAAATGTTACAGCATGCAAGGTTAATCAGCTGGACCCAGTGATACACATCTATGGTCCCAGCTACTGTGGAATCTGAGGAGGGAGGATGGCTTGGGGCCAGCGATTAATTGCTTCGAGGGTGCAGTGCCCAATGAACGTGCCTGTGAGTAGACACTGCACTCCAGCCTGGGCAACATGGCAAGACATTGTCTCTAAAACATATGAAGCAAAACAGAAAAGAATTAATCAAAAACAAGTCTCAGGATAGCTTAGGCTTTGTCTTATCAGTTTGGACTGCTGTAACAAATTATCATAGACTGCGTGGCTTCTACACCACAGACATCTATTTCTCATGGTTCTGGAGGCTGGAAGTCTGAAATCAGGGTGCCAGCCTGGTTGGTTTCTGAGGAGGGTCCACTTCTTGGTTCATGGACAGCGGGCTTCTCATTGCGTCCTCACAGGGTGGAAAGAGGGCAAAGGAGTTCTCTGGAGCCCCTTCTACAAGGGCACTAATCCCAATTGTGAGGGCTCCACCCTTATGACCTAATC